CAATATGCAAAATGGCAATGCAATATTCAAAATGGCATTGTATTTCTGTATTTAAATTTACATTTTCCATTACCCATACGTGCAAAGTTTGGTGCAAAAGTAAAATGAAAATTAAATTATATAATTTACATTTGCCATTTCCAACAGTAGTCTTAATATGTAAATTGCATGCACATTTGAACGCTTTATAAGTTGCGAAATGAGAATGAAAATGTATAACACAAATTGATTTTATATGTGTAACATGTTCAAGCGGAAATGGTAGCAAAATGATCATTTAAATGCTATTTGTCCTAAATGCATTTAGACTAACAGTTAGAACACTTAGGATTGCATTTTCATCATGACGCCGTGGGATATTTGTAGCAAAATTCAATTTGAAAATGCATTCCGAGCTGACCACGCCCACCCTCCATCAATCATTGCTTCAAGGCGGGAATTGGCGGAAGCGTGTTACGTTTGGATCGTTTGAAACATGGCGGCTGGAGATCTGATAAGATCGCTGAATTCACTGGCAGATGAAGTGGAGCGTGAACAGAGAAATATATAGAAATATAAATCAGATTCCAATCAGAAACCCAAACTCGTAAAATTTAAAATTAAAATGAGAGACAATTATCCGTCTGTAAATTGCTCCAAAGAAATTGAAAATGAAAGTTTGAAGCCAACTTTTCATTTGGTTCATTTTGATGGTGCGAATTGAACAAAGAACTGCAAAGGGTTACACGGACCCACCGTCTATATAAAAAACACTAATAAAACCATCTGAACTTTTAAGAACTGCATTTTCTTACCAATAGGTATGGAATCAGGAACAGAGATAGGACATAAACCAAACAAAAGAAACCTGAAAAACGCAAAATTACAAAAATTTAAATTTTTACACTTATATGTAAAAATACAGTGGCTGAGAGAGCTCAACGCGCTGCAACTTAAAGAGCACCAGCAAATTAAGAAAACATCTCCATCAGTTTGACAACACGCGCTGCAAAGCCTCACAACACAACCAAATACAGAAAAGCGTTGCAAGTAGCACAGACCACAACGGATTTTTTTATTTTTTGGTTTTTACCATTTGTGTAATCACACAAACAGCTACCATGGTTAAACTATGGTTAGTGTAATTTACAACATGCAACGCAAATGTTTAATTTTTTTAAAAGATAAAAATAATATAACATCTTCGAAATATATGCGAAATTATCATAGGGACAAATCAAAACTCACCACAGCAAAGAACGGTACATGACCATAAAGAAAGTTTCTGCCAACTGTATATAAACTTTGAGTAGAACAAAAATGATTCTCCAAAAACTTTATCCCGATGAATTGAAGTGTCTTTTTTTTTTTTTTTCAATAGCTCAGCAGCCGCGTGGCGCTTCATTTTGACGAGGAAGAACACCTGTCAGATTGGCTTAGTTAATCAATTTGTATATCACGTGGTCATTTTTAATGTTTTCCTTTTTATTAACAGGTTTTAGCGGAAGAAGTTTGCACCTGACACCCGATTAAAGCTTATAAACTTATGGTAAAGTTATTTTAATAAACAATATGTTCTTTTGAGGTGGATCTTTTTTCTTTTTATATATATATATATATATATAAATTGGTTGAACCTGCTCAGAGAACCAATCTGAACAACGTGGTTTACCAATCGGAGTGTGTTTCCCAAAAGTAACTTTAGCTAGCTATATAATAGCAAATTTCACTGAATTCTACTTGTAACGATGGAACTTGTGTTGTTTTTGGGAAACGCAACAGAAACCAGACTCGCTCAGGAAGTTACCGACTCATTTAACTGAGAATCAGTGAGAGGAGCAAGAAGTGAGCATTTGGAGTGAATATATCTGACTGATCTGTTACTTTAATAGCAGACATGTTACAAATGAAGCTTACTTTAAATATGTTAATGACTTGATTGCAAAATGTAACATGCAAAATGTAATGTAAATGAAGTAGCAAGCCTATAGTTTATTGTAAATACAAATTATATTGTGTTCAGCTGAATCATGGCTGCATCAAGCTAACTCTGGATATAAACATCCATTGACATAATATGAATTGCACATGATTTGTAAATTATAGCTTATAGAGACATGTCCAATATAATTGTGAAATGGTTTGTGGCTAACATTAAAAAAAATGTTCATAAGGCAACCATAGACCTACTATTGTTTGAGAAATAGTCTGGTTTGTATTAATGATGAAAGTTTAAGTTTTACAAGAATGGATAGTTAAAGGGCATTACTCTGGAATTTTTCTGACAATATGTCTCAAAGTTTGGCTAAGGAAAGTGTATGAAAGATTTTGTATAAAACATTTTTGGGAAGCGATCACTTTTTGAGGAATATTGGAGTAGAGTTATCATCAGTAAGTATTGATAGATTTAAATCTGCAGATTGGGATAAATTTAAAGAGATATGTGAGAAAAAGTTTAATGTTAGGAAAGTAGTTAGATCAGCAAAAAGAAGTCGTAGCACAATAGACTCAATATTATGTCTTAAGAATGATATAAGAAAAGCGCAAGTGAGCAAAGAAGTGTTGATGGGAGTGTTTTTTTATGTAGAGAAGGCCTACAATATGATGTGAAGGGAAAGATTATTAATTAAACTGGATACAATTGGAAAGGTAAATTAACAGGTAAATTATATAACTGGATTATGTTTTTTTTTATGGATAGGACAATACATGTTAGGGTGGGGAAATTATATTCAAAGATTCATGCAACTGAAAATGGAACACCACAAGGAAATGTTTCAAGCCCTATTCTTTTTAATATAATGAAGGTTTTTTTTTCTTTTTTTAAAGTACAAGGAAGATCAATATACGGAGATGGTGGTACATTATGGAAGAGCGGAAGAAATGGAAGTTAGAAAGGAAACTCCAAGAGGCCATAGGCGAAGTAGGAAAATGGGCAAATTGCTGGGGATTAAATTAACAATTAAATATCTATAATATGTTAGAGCAGGTATCTGTGGTAAGAAACTTTTAGTTTTGGATAGATACAAAATTGACTTTTGGCATCCTTATTCAAAAAAATTATGACAAATGCAAGCAGGGTATATATTAAGATGTCTGGCTGGAACAGATTGGGGTGCTATCTGACAATCGAGACTTGTTGGACAATCACTTTGGAGAGTACGTTGCGCTTTGATTAGATCTTCAATAGACTATGGCAGTTTCATATATATTTCAACATCATTGAAGAAAAATATACACATTATACAAACTCAGGCATTAAGAATATGTTGCTCTGCATTTAGCGCATCACCAGTAGCATCTTTGCAGATAAATGGGGAAATACTATTAGAGTTAAGAAGACTGCAATTGAGAATGGTTTATTTGATTTCAATTAAAGGTCATGAAAATAAGGCTCCACTTAAAATATAATGGAGAAATGCTGGGAATGTGACTATTCAAAGTTGGAAAGCTTTGGAAGGTTTCCTGATAAAGAGGCACAGAGAATGGGAATGGTTGTGGAAATTAGTCCAACAGTCAAACATGCCTATTATTCCTCCATGGACATGGTTATATTCCAGTCCTTCAGATGATCTTTAGTTGAAAAAAAGTAATTCTGGATAAACAAAGATGTGTTTCAAAGGAGATGGCAGTGTGGCAATATTGGGACCTGAAATATTGTGGGACATAAGAGAGCGGTTACATACAGGACAAACAGCACTCAATCAGTCTTTACATGTCATTGGAAAACATGATACAGGATTTTGTAGCACATGTACACACCCAGAGACAGTAATGTACAGTGTGTCAGATATCAAAATAAAAAGGTTAATGTTAGATAATCAAATCAAGTCATTCGATAAAAATAGTTTGTCACTTAAAAATTTACGAAGAAATTCCCTACAGGATTCTAGGTTTTACCAACTTTACCAACAAGGCAACAGATCTAATTAAAATAATTTAGATAAACGTTTTTCTTCTTTTTCTCCCCCCTCTGTTTTGTTCATAGACTGTGGTTTCGTTTGATGCTCCACCCTGAATTAGCATTTCCCTTGATATCATCGCCTCACACTCCATCCCAGTAGGTGGCGGAATATGCACCAAAAGCTGGTTTGCCAACCGCCATTAAACATCATAAGAAGAAGAAGAAAAAGATGCTCCACCCTCCATCTCAGTAGGTGGCGGAAATGCACAATACGTTTGCTTGCCAACCGCCACTAAATCAAAAGAAGAAGAGGAACATCCGTTGTAAACACATAATAATTTTCGTTATCATGGAAGCTGTTGTTGATGAGGTTGTTGCCCCAGAGGATCTGGAGGTAATTTGTGTTATTTTTCCATGTTGTGCATTTCCGCCATTAAACATCATAAGAAGAAGAAGAAAAAGATGCTCCACCCTCCATCTCAGTAGGTGGCGGAAATGCACAATACGTTTGCTTGCCAACCGCCACTAAATCAAAAGAAGAAGAGGAACATCCGTTGTAAACACATAATAATTTTCGTTATCATGGAAGCTGTTGTTGATGAGGTTGTTGCCCCAGAGGATCTGGAGGTAATTTGTGTTATTTTTCCATGTCTGTTTGAAATGATTAATTCAAAAAAATTATGATAATAATAACACTATGAAACATCATGTGCGAAAACTTCCTGTCTGAATAGAATTGCCAAATGCTCTATAACCTCTTTTAGATTAATTGTCTGTATGTGAGTGCTTACTGCTTAGAGCTTTTTATTTGCCCTGATGATCAATTGAAAGCGAGTTTTTGGCGTGGACACGTTGTCAACATTGTATTATTTTGATTTTCAGAAATTTGAGAAGAAATACAAGGCAGAGTTATCAAAGGGTTCTGTGTCTAAAGACACGCAGTTCGAGTATGCGTGGTGTCTGATCAGGAGCAAACACCCGGAGGACATCAAGAAGGGAATAGTGCTGCTCGATGGTAACTGAATACTAAAACTCTATAGTTTTATCCTATTTCAAACATTTAGCAAGTGCCCACAGCGATCACAAGCCCAACAAAAGTCAACTTAGTTGCGAAAGAAAAAAAAATCAAAATTTTAATCATTTTTGACATCTGTTCTTTTTTTTATCTCTCTTTTCATAAATTATTTTGTTGTCTAAGAGCAATCGGTGTAACAAAATGAAAACCTCCTCGTTGCAGAACATTTGAACTCTTGATTTTATCAGATTTAAATCAAAGACGTACATTTGTATTCATATTTACATGAACTCAATTAAACCATAAATATTTTAATTAAATGTTTTAATAGGTTAAAAAAGTCTTGATAATGAAGCTTCCAGTGCAAACATATAAATTCAAGACACATAATAATACAATTAAAGAATAAACATTTGAAAAAGTATAAAACAGTTAGGTTAAATCAGAATAGACATATTTACAGTATTATGTATAATATTATGAATAAATGTGATTGAATTTTAAAGATATTGCACTAAACCGTGGGAGAATTGCACTAGCCAACAGTTCAGAGAAGTTGTGGCCAGGGTGAGTGGAGTCTGTGATGATTTTCTCCACCCTCTTCCTCACTTTGGAAGAGTACAGGTCCTGGAGGGTGGGCAGGGGAACACCAATAATCATCTCAGCAGTCTGAACTGTCTGTTGTAGTTTTCTGGTGTCTGGTAGCTGAACCAAACCAGAAAGTTACTGAAGTGCATAGAACGGACTCATTGACGGCTGAGGTCAGCAGCTCCTGTGGCAGGTTGAACTTCTTCAGCTGGCGAAGGAAGCGCAACCTCTGCTGGGCCTTTTCACACTTTAATTAGATTTATAGTGAACTGAATATTTCTTACAAAAGCACCTTCAAGTTACACAGTGTGTTCTTTTTTTATTTAGACAATTAGTCTTTTATATGAATTTTATACATTTGTATCCTTTCATTCAGTTGCGAGTTAATTGCTTTCTAGTCTCGTCTACTGCATAAGTATGAGTGGAGTATATTGATGTGCTATTAAGTTGCTAAAACTCATGTATGTTTCATAAAGATGTTGACCTTCAGTAATGATACTTTTAAAAGCATAACAGTGTGATTTACATGACTTTCATGGAGTGGTTTTCTGTTGAAATGAGTGCTCTTCACTTTGAGTTCAGAGTATTGAAGTGTCCAAATGAGAATCACAATGTGTGACTGAGTCACCACTGTGAAACATATTGTACATGGTAAGTCTAAATATAATAATATTTTGTGAAATGTTGTAGCCATTCAGTAAGAAGATAAGATAAGTTGATGTCATAATGAGTGGAATAAATGGCTTCCTGTCCATACCACACTTGTTCAATTTCCTATCCTTTCACTCAGCAGCTCATCAGCAGCTACCCAGTGAGCTATCTAATCACTTTAGTACATTAAACATTGCTCAAAGCGTGGGCTTTTTTTTTTGCAACTTCGCAGTAGTTAAGTGCCACAGCTCTTGTTATCTTGATTCTAGATGACAACACTTTGTTCTTATCTGATAGGAGTGACAATGAAAAGGTTATACATTTTATTGCTGTCTTTGGTTGAACCCATGATTTTGAAGCAAAGTGAGCAGTGTTACTGCAGTGACACATTCATAGTTCACTGTCTTGCTGAGACATTTGTGTATACCCTCAGGAAAAGTGAAATAAAAGGTGTGGGCAC